AGTGAAATATTTCATGAAGAATGTTGAAAATTGAGTCCACCTTTAATGATGGGTGAGACTCTATCACCCATCTCACCCAGGAGGAGGTGGGGGTGAGAGCATTTATACAGAACCATAGATGGGAGAGAAAACTAGGGGGGAGGCATGTGCCAAGGTGAGTGGGGATGGTTGTCTTCTTGTGAAGGTTTGAGTTCCTCGCATGAGCTATGACCCATGTCAGCGCATTCTAGGTCCTTTTTCCACTTGAGCATAATTACCAGCAAGTGTCAGTCTGTTCCCATTGACCTCCCTAGCTACTCTGCTTTAAAAAAAATTAAAGAGGCCATTCAGAAAAACTCCTATATTTCTACAGAAGACAAAAAGGTGTGTGAAGCAACTAATAATACAGTGCTGTGATTTTCAATATAAATTTCTCATTTCCTTGTTTCAGGATAAATGGTAAATAAACATGTTCCCAGCAGTGCGAGGTGAGTAATAGGAACACCAAACATCATTTCACTCCAAGGAAACCTGTTTGGCTCTGTTGGCCATCTATATCTAGGGCCTTCAGATGTAGCAGGCCACCAATTTTCAGGGCCACCAATTACTTTTCTGGGGAAAAAGTTTATTTTGCCAAATTTTAAAAACATACCATAAATGGGACTGGGGAAAAGGTGTAATATAAACCTATTGTGGTTTAAGTTGCTATTTTTCACAAAATATTAAATGTGAATATACTTCTAAAACCTGAATAAACTGTGCAGTTATAAGGCATTGCATGAATAAGCTTATTATGTATTTTTATATGTTTATAAGTACACTGATTAGTGAGAGGTATAAAAGTGAACTCCGTAGGAAAGCTCTGGAGAGAAACAAAAAATGTGAGACCTTCTACCCTATAGCTAATACTATTTACGTTATTTAGGGAGGGATCTGGTTTATAAACTAAAGTAACTTTTAGGCAACAAGCCAAGGATGTTTTAAACTTGAAGGCAGCTCATGTAACTTTCTTAACTGCTGACTTGTTAATAATTTTAAATATTGTTCCCAAACCAATCTTTTTTTTTTTTAATTTATTTATTTTTTGGCTGCATTTCGTTGCTACGCGCAGGCTTTCTCTAGTTGCAGCGAGCGGGGGGCTACTCTTCGTTGCGGTGTATGGGCTTCTCATTGCAGTGGCTTCTCTTTGTTGTGGTTCACAGGCTCTAGGCACGTGGGCTTCAGCAGTTGCAGCACGCGGGCTCAGTAGTTGTGGCTCGTGGGCTCTAGAGTGAAGGCTCAGTAGTTGTGGTGCACGGGCTTAGTTGCTCCGCGGCATGTGGGATCTTCCCGGACCAGAGCTTGAACCCGTGTCCCCTGCATTGGCAGGCAGATTCTTAACCACTGTACCACCAGGGAAGTCCCCCAAACCAATCTTTATCATAGCCTTGTATTTAGGATTTCTGTGAGCTTGAAATCCTGTCCTTCCTTCACCAAGTGTCTGACACAAATATAATCCCATTACAATGGATGTCATTGCAACATTTTGTGTATCACAGGAAGTGTTTCCTATTACAGCCATGACTCTTACTTAAAAGAATGTAGTCTGTGTAACAAGACAGTTGGGGATAGTGCCTGTACCTAATCTTAATGAGCTTTGACTTTACAACATCCTGTGTGCTAAGTGTGTTCCTAAAATCAATGCACGTTGATTATAAAGCCAGCAGATCACGTGTCAAAATGCACTTGAGAAATGCTTTCTTCAAGGGCTGTGAGCGACTGAGTAAGGGGTAGCCCGCTGTGACCGGGTACCGCAGCGTCCCTCTGTGTCCCCCATTCTGAGTCAGCCACTTCACTCGCGCTCCTGTCTGCTTCTGTGTGGCCCTAGTGTTAGGGGTCTTCTGAGTGGTTTCTTGAGGAGAGAATAGCTGTTTGTCAAAACAAAAGGAAAAACCAGAGACTATCAACTTTAAGTAGAGAAGGGTAAGGTAGGAACTAGTCATTGGCACAGCTGATTTGTGTTTTTAAACCTGAGGACTTCTAACTTTGTCAGCTAAGGAGGACCCATGGGGAAATAATAAAAATTCCTGGGAAACTCTGAGAAAGAAGTTTGTTTGGTGAAGGTTGTGGTTAAGTTAGATGTGGCAGAGACTGCTGGCCATCCCCCAGTGTCTATTCTCCTCTTCTTTAGAAGTAGAGCCCCCAAATTTAGTTTGGCCCATGCCCCCTTAGCACAAAGACTTCATTTCCCAGTCTCTCTGGAAACTAGATGTGACCATGTGACTAAGTTCTATTCAATGAGATATAAGTGGAACTGTCACATAAAATTGATGGGAAATGTCCTTGAAGGATGTGGACATACCCTAAGCAGCCCTTTCCTTCCTCTTGCTGAGATGGAAATCAAATCTGAGGATGGTAGAACTGTAAGAGAGGAGTTTGGATCCCAAATCATTTCATGTAACCTCACCCCTCTCCCCACCTCAATCCTCAGCTACTTATCTTTGGACATCTTTAAGTGTGAAAGAGAAGTAAACATTTATCTTGCTTACACCATCGTTATTTTGGTTCCTGTCGTTCTCAGCCAAATGCAATATTAATTGATAAAATGGGTAAAGAAAACATAATGATAAAGATAACTGCTGTAGGTCTAAATGTAGCTTTAAAATAAAAAGTAGTTCCTGATGTAGCTTCACTCATTTTTCCTCCAAAAGGTCTATGAAACACAGAAAAAAGATGAAATTTGCCACATTAAAAACCAAAACTGAGTCAATTTATTTGAGAGAATTTCCTAATAATCCCTTCCTTTGTCTATTCACATATTCAACAAATATTTTTTAAAATAACTCCCATGTACCAGGTTTTAGACCCAGGGAGTATAGTGATGAACAAAAGAGAGAGAAAGTCCCTGCCTTCATGGGGCTTCTATTCCAGTGGGAGAAGACAGACTACAAACAAGATAAACAAAGAACTATGTCAGATTGTATTTGTATGTTAAAAAACAAAAACAAAAAAAACAAAACAAGGTAAGGGAGTCGAAAGCGATAGATGGAATGGGCAGGGAAGGTTTTTGGAGGAGATGGCATTTGACCTGAATGAAGTGAAGGTTGGAGTCATGGTGATATCTGGAAGAAGAGCATTCAAGGCAGAGGATGCAACACATGCAAAGGCTCTGAGACAGAAACAGGCTTGGCATGTTCCAGGAACAGTGAGAAGATAATGTGGCTGGAGTAGAGTAAATGGAGAAAAGAAGTGGTAGGAAAAGATGTCTGAGAGCTGGTCAAGGGCCAGAAAATGTAGGATGAATTGCTAGGAAGTCACATTTAACTGGACTAAAAACATGCATCGTGGTCCATTTTGAAAAGGAAGTGTCTCCCTAAAAGTAGGTGGTTAGACCTCTTGTCCTCCCCACAACTGCTACTACTATGCTGGGTTCAAAGTCATAACATCTCCCATCATCAGAGAATTGGACAGCCAGCCCTCTGTTGTCTGGGTGTTTTCCACCAAAATGCCTCTCTTTCCATACAGTCAGAGGCCATCATCTCCAGAGAACATATCATCTCACTTAATCCTTTGGCAGGACGCTAATGGGGGTAGAGTACACTGGCAGCGCACAGTGAATCTTGGGAGGGGTCGTAAAGCACTATAGTTTGTGTGGAGATGGAAGAACCCCAGATGTAGTGGATGCTATCACTTTTATAGTGCTGTTTCATGGTGAGAGTTTGAGCTCCAGGTGGTGACAGTAGGAGAAAATACTGTCTCTGTCCAAGAGAGTCATAATATTATAGTGCAAACATAGTAAATTTCACACAGTTGGGACATAATTCCAAACCATGTAGTTGTTTAAATAATTAAATTACTTGGATTTAGCTTATATTTCCTTCTTTATTTCCTTTCAAAAGTGTTATACACATAACGTCAGTTTACAAAAAAAGTAGTCTGATATAGCTTTCTTCACGTACTAGGCTGCGCTAAATGCATTCTGTGGATTGTTTACCAAGGGTCAACTGGTAAATTATAAAGATGTATGAAGATGAACAAGGATGGCTTGAAATACACCTATGCCAGGGCTTATTTGGCCAGAGGGCCTCTTTTAGAAGGAAAAACCTGAGGATCCCATTGCTTTACAGGCATGACTCGTGTTAGTAATATTTCAAGGCAAGCCACTTAAAATACTGAGTGCTACTACCGGAAATGATCTTGTCTTCCATATGCTTTCAGGTATCTTCATTTAGGTGTACATATTTGTGCCTACATTTAACATGTGTCTACATTTGTACTCTACAAAGGTATAGCATTGTGATTAAGAGAACAAATTCTGTAACAGACCTGGATTAAAAATCTTAATCTCTACCGTTTCCTTGGGAAAGTGTTTTGGCCAGCTTCCTTATTTGAAAAATGGAGATGATTTCTATATCAAGGGTAATAGTAAGAATAACACTAGTTAATGTACAAGGTGCCAAGCGTGTTATATGTCACATGGTAAGGCTCATTAAATAGTAGGTATTTCTGATATTATAGCAACTATCATTTGTAGGAGAGACTGTTGGGAATCAAAATTGTTTGTTGAATGAAAGCACAGGCAACCAGTAGCACAGACTTGTTCCTCTCCTTTATAACTGCTTACGTGCCTAAGGACTGGGTCCTCAGCTCACTGCACACTGTCACCCGAATCGCCCATCAATTTATCACATAAGGCAATCGAAAAATTCCAGGTGTATCTTCCCGTAAGGACCCGGTCTATTGAACTGGAAAGCTAAAAGTAAAGGCGTGTTAGCATACGGTATTTGTAGGGGTGGGATAGCAGGATGGGAGGGAGATGCAAGAGGGAGGAGATATGGGGATATATGTATAAGTATAGCTGATTCACTTTGTTATAAAGCAGAAAGTAACACACCGTAGTAAAGCAATTATACTCCAGTGAAGATGTTAAAAAATAAATAAATAAAGGCGTGACAATTGCCCTTCGACCCACCTCTCCCATAGGTCGCCTGCTCATTTAAATAGTGCGTTCCCTCGGGTGCCACTTGATAAAATTTTCTGAGCGCTCCTTGAGGATTCGCCAGAGGCGGCTGGAAGCTCCAAGTTCACCTGCCCAGGTGTCCGCGGCGCTCGGGGAGCCACCCTGGCCTGGCACCTGGGGCTCGGGTCCCCAAAGTCCCATTTCGGGGGGCTCTGCTGGCTGCGGTGGGCTCAGGGGCTGCTGCCAGAGCGTACCCTCCTTTCCCTTTCGCGAGACGCTGGGTGCCGGCGGGGACTGACACCTGCCAGACGCCTCTAATCCCCTTAGGGCGCCACGCCCGCCGCGCGCGGCTCGGAAATAAGTGAGCGCAGGGCGCGCAGGTGAAGCTCCGGCTCCGGCTGCGAGCCGCGGAGCCGCCAGTTTACGCGCAGGGCCCCGGCAACGGCGCGGCCATGGTCTCGCCGCGGGGCATCGGCACCTTCGTGGTGTGGGACTACTTAGTGTTCGCCGGGATGCTGCTCATCTCGGCCGCCATCGGCATCTACTACGCCTTCGCGGGGGGCGGCCAGCAGACCTCCAGGGACTTCTTGATGGGCGGCCGCAGTATGACCGCCGTGCCCGTGGCGATGTCCCTCACCGCCAGCTTCATGTCGGCTGTCACGGTCCTGGGCACCCCCTCCGAAGTCTACCGTTTTGGGGCCATATTCAGCATCTTTGCCATCACCTACTTCCTTGTGGTGTTCCTCAGCGCGGAGGTCTTTCTCCCGGTATTCTACAAACTGGGAATTACCAGCACCTACGAGGTACAGGGTGAAAAGGAGGGCCCGGGGAGAGGTGATGGGGTGAGGGGGGTACTTTTCAGCTCCTGGAGAGATTTTCCTGGGGGCAGGCTCACCACCACATCCAAGTCTCTCCCCGTTCATATCCATCACCTCTTCTGCCCGCCCCTTTTAGGGAGAGGTGTCCTGTAAAGGCGAAAAATAATCTTGGGACTTAACATTCGTGAGCTCAGGGGAAGAGAGAGGCTCCCAGAGTAAACGGAGTTATTTGGACTCGTGCTCAGTAAGGCCATTTCTGCTTTAACATCTTTGATTCCAAGTCAAGGGGAAAGATTTTTCAACTTATTATCTTGGGGAAGGGTAAGTCTCAGCTCCTCCTCCTTGAAAGGAATCCCCTCATTCCAGGTCCTCGGTCCACTCACTTTTCCAGGAATTATGGGTACTCTCCCCTCCTTCCCTCTCCGCAAACATGCCTTCCACGGAGAGTCAGGCACTCACATGGTTAAGGTTCTGAATCTCGTGTTTGAGACCAGATTCTATGCTTACTAGCTGGGTAACCTTGGCTGACTTATTTAACCTTTTGTGCCTCTTTCTTAGTCTCAAAATGGGAATAATTATACCACCTACCTCATCTGGTTGTTGGGGTGATTAAATGAGATGATGCAAGGCAGCATTTAGAACAGTGTCTGGCACAGGGTAAGTGCTGAGTAAATGTTGACCATAAGTATTGGGGTGATGGTGGTAGAGGTTGTTCCCTTGGGATCACTAGGAAAATTTGGCTGCAGAGTTCTTAAGCATCTCCGCCTTCTCTCTCTGTGGAGAGATGATTAAGGGAAACCATCTTTCCAATTGCACAGGTCCCCTGGTTATAAATTTTCTCAAATTGTCTGCCGGAAAGGGCTTTGCAAAGATAGTGTGAATGTTTGGTTTAGTTTAAAGAGCTGTTGAATGGGAGTGTCAGGGGAGGATAAAAGTTTAGGGGAGTGGTTGGGCCCAGTTCCATGAGTTCCATGGACAAACCTGCAGAAGTGGTCTCTCTAACAGACCATTATCCAAGCACCCCGAGCCTCATTCTCAGCAGCCACCTTGTCTTCGAGTTCATGTAGTGTTTGCCCCAACCCAGAGCCACTGGATGGTGGTTTCTTAGTGAGGCTGGTTCAGCTGGTGCTGGGGATGGGCCCCAATGGCACAACAAGTGTTGATGACACACTGCCTGGGCTCTAGTGAACTTATTGCAGGGTGAGGTGCCCCTGGTGCAACACTGCCTTCTTTGCACTCTGGTCATTGTGTTTGAGAGCATTTGTTTAGTCATCGCCCCAGAAGTGAGCAGGGTAGAGTTTCTTTGTTTTGCTCAAAAGTGACAAACTGATTACCCCAGACAAACTGTCTTAGGTCTTTTTTGTTGCTGTTGACCCTTATAATGTTTTGAAAAAAAATTAATTTAGCATTTAATGATGAGAAGTCAAATAAAATTCCAGAGTCTGACTTCTTCTGAAACTTAAAAGACTACTGACACTGGGCCCACATTCCCTGTGGCAACAGGAACCCCAGTTTACAGCCGTTGCTCTCATTCCCTATTAATTTCTATATTGAGGTCTCTTCATTGTATCTGCATGGTTACTTTCTTATGGTAGAGAAATCTATCTGCATTTAGGTCTTTATCAAAAATGCAAAAGGGAGGGCTTCCCTGGTGGCGCAGTGGTTGGGAGTCCGCCTGCCGATGCAGGGGACACGGGTTCGTGCCCCGGTCCGGGAAGATCCCACGTGCTGTGGAGCGGCTGGGCCCGTGGGCCATGGCCGCTGAGCCTGCGCGTCTGGAGCCTGTGGTCCGCAACGGGAGAGGCCACAACAGTGAGAGGCCCGCGTACCGCAAAAACAAAACAAAACAAAACAAACATGCAAAAGGGAAAATGGAAAGGACTGAAGGGACTTCTTGCTTTGAGGGAGATGTCAGAGGACATATTTCTTAATGAATATGAGGAATATTTCAACCTGCTAATATATGAACGCCTGGCTGATCCAGTTGTTGTATTTTACCTAATGAGATCTGTAGGCATTTTGAGTCCGTGAGCTCTGATCTGTAGTTAACCAACTCCAAAACCCAGAAAGGGTTTGAAGAACCTGGCAAGAGGACTTCAGTCCCCGTAGGTGAATGCTCCTCTCATAATCACTGACCTGTGCCTCTTCGGGTCAGCAACGTTAACTTAACCAGAAGCAGATTTCCCACACATTTGCAGGGGTGGAGGCTAAGTTAGCAGAGTTCCAGCTAAAAATGGCAAAAAGCAAACGTTTACTGAATGCTTAATACAGGCTGGGCACTGGGTTGCCTGTTTGACATACATTATCTGACTCAATACTCAAAATAATTCTTATACTGTGAGAGCCCCATTTTGTAGACAGAGATTCCGAGTAAGTTAAGCTTCACAAGAGAGCCTGAAGCAAAGTGGACACATGCCTAGAGGCTGTGCAGTGGTGCATACTGGCTGCTTCTGAAGGCTCCGGTGAGTGTTATAACCCTGAGCGGAGCTTAGAATGGTGCAGGCAAAAGGGACATGGTGCAGGACACAAGGGGTTGTGGACACACTGGGGGTATCCACGCCTAGTGGATGCCAGGCCACTGGGAACAGGGAAGTTAGGTAACATGCTATGTCCCTGGCAGTTGGTCATGGAAAACAATTTCTTGTGGCATATTTTGTTTGTTTTATGCTGAGAGGTGGAATCAACTACACAGAATAAGAAGTTTCCCTAGTTCCAGATTGTTAGCTACAATTGGCTGTTCAGAAGCATTTGTGATATCTATTTATCACTGCCTTCAAGGTGTAGTCCTGATAGGTGTATAGCAACTTCCAGATTCACAGAGAAGAAATATGCAGGAGCCCAACTGCATTCACCATCTCTTCAGGATGTTTCTGGATCCAGCAAAATCAATGTGTTTGAACTACGTTGCCCAGACTCTCTCTCTCTCTCTCTCTCTCTTTTTAAAAAAAAAATCAGTAGAAATCTTAGTCCCTAAGTTATTCAAAGTACTGAGGACTATGCGAGATCTCAACTGACTATAGGTGTGACTGAACCAAACTTGGGTCCGCTCGTCCATGCGCAGTAAAGCCAATCTACTGACACCAGGTTGCGGTGGAGGAAAGTGCAGCTTTTATTATTATTCTGGGGCAGCTAATGATAAAAATATCCTCAACTCCCCAGTGGGTTTTAGGGAAGCATTTTTAAAGGCAAGGTGAGGGAGGGGAGTCACAGAGTATGTGACCACCTTGTGCACAATTCTCTGATAGATTGGTGGGGAGGTGCTAGGGCAGTGTCACAGGGGTTAACATTATCAATCCTCAGGCTCCAGTAGGTCTGGGGCTACATGCTCATGGTCATCAAGTAATTAACTTCTTCCATTTGATGGAGGTTTTAGCATCTGTAAAACAACTCAGGAAATGTGCATCAGATACTGTTATCTTGGTACTTTGGGGAGGAACTAAAGATTCTGTGACTGCCATATTGCTGATTTACTGTTTGAATTGTTCCTAGTTCTCCTGGCCCATCTGCTCCTTTGTCACTACATGCTCACACCCTTTCAATCATTAATTCTTGAGCCAGGCTTTTGTGACTCAGGGGAGGCCTGGAAGACTACAGCCGTTCTATAAACAAGAGGCAGGCAGAGGACATGGGGGCAGTGGTCTGTCCCGGGAAGGTACCATAGGGTCCTGCTTGGTAACATAGACACCTACTGTTATTCTGTGGTTTTGTCTAGAAATCCTAGAGCTGTTCTCTGAGCCTACTGATCAGTGACTTGATCTTTAGGTATTTCTTTAGCAGCCCAGTATCTGAGATGGACAAGACTGTCCCCTGCCATTCGGTAAACAAAGGATGTTGTGGCCACCAAGCCATCAGCCACTGCAGCCACCCCCCATGGTGCACCCTGAGGGGAATCCAGGATGGAGAAAAATAGGATACTGGCCCTAGATAGATAAGATGTGTATGAAAGGAGGGCTTTCAGTAAGCTCAGACTCTTGCATTTTCCCATACACAGAAAAGCACTAAAATCATTACCTTTGTCGGTTCTTTGTGATTGGCAGTAATCTTTTGATGTTCAACTACATGTTTTGTTCTGTTTTGTTTCCCAGCAAATACTCCTATATATCCTGGCTCCTCCCTTACCTCTTTGGAACAGTCCCTCAGAGCTGTCTGAGAGGCTGCCACCCTGGGCTATAGTCCTCAGTAAGGCCTCAGAATAAAACATAATTCTCAACTTTTAGGTTGTGCACTTTTTTCATTCGACACTGAGATAGTGATAGAATTCTTGGTTCTGTCTTGAGTTAGTATTGTGAGGGGGGAAAAATATATATATATATATATTTTGTTGTTGTTGTTTAACTTGCTACATTCTTACCTCCATCACATTTTCCTCTTCAGTTTTCTTTAGTCTCCAGCAGTATGGATACATGTACCTAGAAAAGGCAAAGACTTCTCTGTCAATTCATGGACATTTATTTTTAATAGAGTTTTACTAAAACAACTCAGAAGAAATAACACAGCTCTGTTCCCATGCTTCAAGACACTTCTTGGGTTTTCTAAAAAGTCTTCCAAAATATACTTGGATGATTTCGACTTATGTAATTCACTGAGATTCAAATTCTCAGGCCTGTGGATTTGGTTACCAGCTTCTTAATGTCTTAAATCTTAAGTGAACAGTTTACGACATTTCCCCATCCATTTACATCATTTGATAGTCTCCAAAATCCTGCAAAGTAAATGGGGAAAGAATGATTACTATGATCCACATTTTCAAAAGGAGGAAATTGAGATTTAGAGTGTCCCAAGCTCGTGGAGTCAAGAGTAAGGCTGGAACAAGGGCTGGAACTCTTGCCCCAGAGCACTCACTACACTGCATTGTATATTCTTAACTCATTAGTTATTTTAGGAGGTCCTATTATGTGTCAGTGCCACTCACTCACTCTGGATGAATCTTAGACACATGGGCAGTTTTCTTGTTATTTTGAATAACAGAGTGGTTAGGTGCACAGAGTTTGGCATCAAATGGTCCTAGATTTGCATTGTGTCTCCAGCAATTATTAGGTTGCAGCCTTGGTATTCTCTCTGTGCCCCAGTGTCCTGGTTTCCAACATGCACTTATGCATAGTAACTGCCTCATGGAGTTGTTGGGAGGACAGGGCATGCAGCAAATACTCTATAAATGTTAGCTGTGATTATGAAGCAAAAATATCTGGTGTCTTTTCCTCTGATATTTACCTAATGTCAGTTTTTCCTCCCTCATTTTTTCTGCTATATGAAAAGACTACTGTCAGCCTTAGAATTCTCTCTATATGTAGTAATAATATTCAACTTAAAGAATGTCTTGGACCCCGGCTTCTTTCCAGCTCTAAAATCCTAGGATTCTAACTCTGTAATACATTATGATCTATAATATTGGAGATAAGCACACTACTGACATACCTCAGAGATACTACAGGTTCAGTTCCAGACCACCACAATAAAGGGAATATTGCAATAAAACGAGTTGCATGAGCTTTTTGCTTTCCCAGTGCATATAAAAGTTATGTTTATACTATGCTGTAGTCTATTAAGTGTACAACAGCTCTATGTTTAAAAAACAATGTACATACCATAATTTAAAAGTACCTTATTGCTAAAAAATGCTAACCATCATCTGAGCCTTCAGCAAGTCGTAATCTTTTTGCAATAGTAACATCAAAGATCACTGATCAGAGATCACCATAACAAATATAATGATAATGCAAAGTTTGAAATATTGCAAGAATTACCAAAATGTGACACAGAAACATGAAGTGAGCAAATGCTGTTGGGAAAATGGAACCGATAGACTTGCTTCACGCAAGGTTGCCAGAAACCTTTAATCTGTAAAAAAAAATGCAGTACCTGTGAAGAACAAAAAAGCAAAGTGCAATAAAATGAGGTATGCTTGTATATTATAAGATATCGCAGATGTCACGCTTGGCTCTGAACAGAAACTTACTTAGGCTGATTTAAGTTAAAATTTTTTATTGTAAGGGTATGGGAGTAGCTCATAGCATAGGTGGAAAAGCTGAGCAAACAGACTTTGCAAAGGACAGAAGCGAGGGCAGCCTCTTCAGGCCACCCTGTCAGGATCGGTCTGCTTCTGCTCCAATCATTTTCTGTCTTTATATCTTGCCTCTAAGATTCAAATACCCATTGAGAAGAGAAGCTGATTGGCTGAACGTGGGTCATGTGACTATCTTTTGGCCTAGGCTGGGCACCTTGATCGACAATTCCACAATTGCCTGAAGTGGGAAAGGGTTGATTCCCTAAGTGTATCAGAGGAAATGTATTGGGTAGATACCAAGAGAAAGGGGAGGACAACACTTTGCTCATTCTAAAAATGCAGAATATAATTCCATTGGTATGACATTCTGCAAAAGGCAAAACTCGTAGGGATGGAGAACAGCTCAGTGATTGCCAAGGTTTAGGGGTGAGAGGAGGGTTTGACTACAAAGGAGCGAGAAAGGAGAAACTTTTGACGGGGTTTCCCGTGGGTGATGGAGCTGTTCTGTGTTAAAACCCATTGAACAGTACTCTAAAGCAAGGGTCAGTTTTTCTCTATGTAATTTAAAATAACAGTGAAATAGGAATGCAGAATACAAATTAGTTGCTTTAAATTTCTAACTCCTTTACTTCTTAAGCTGCTGGTTTTTAAAAAGTGTCCCGAAGTTTTACATATTAACCATTTTTCCTTTTTTGGAAACAGTATTTAGGACTTCGATTTAACAAATATGTTCGTCTCTGTGGAACAAGCCTCTTCATTGTTCAAACAGTAAGTAACCCTCAGTTCATTAATTTTCTCTTTTTTTCATGTACAATGTTTTTAAACAAGGCATCTGGGTCAAGCTTATTTGGTAAGTACATGAAAGATAAAAAAGGGATGTTGAAAATAGGAGGAAACAAAAAAGGAAAAACACTTGTCACTACATAACTTTAATCCTTAAGATCATCAAACAGTGTTTCAGCAAATGCACTACTTCCTGGGAAAACAGAATGATTTAAGTAAACATGGAATATTATATTGATCAAGCAACACTTATGTTACTTTAGGAAAGTATGGTTTTCCCTCTCACACCTCCCTCTTTCCCCACCAAAGTGACAGTAAGGGCATTACTGAGATGACAAAGCTATTTGAAGGAACTGTAGTAGCTGATAGTAGGAATTGTAATAAAGGGAAAACAAGTTGTATGTTTCATAGTATTTTGCAACATGTTAAGCAATAAACTTAATAGGAAAATGAACTGACATAGGAAGACATTAGGAAATAATTTTCTTTGTTTGAAAGCATACTTTAAAAAATGAATCAGTGCTCTCTTTTAAAAATCGAACTGTAAAACCCAATTGATGTACTCATTGATATAAAACAACAAAATCATGCACTCTGGAGGAGTTTTTAAAGCCAACTACACAATCCAGTACTCCAAGAATATGCAAGGGTAGATTTACTGCTTGGCACAAATGGAAAGCAAAGATTTGCCAAGCAATCAGTGACAGAGAATGCTTCCCACCCTTCATCCAGGCTGCTGGAGGCTTATCACGATCATTGTCACATCATTTAGACCTATCTTCCTCTTGGCAGCTAAGTGCTTTAAGGATGAGTTTGATAATGGAGGTCCAGGAAGGAGTTTTCATTCTCATCCATTTTTATAATTCCATTTCTCCATTCAAAAGCTACCCAAACATTTGCTACAGCAGGACAGAGTGCCTTTGCAATTATTTAACTTGACTCCATTTTACATCTTTGTAAATTATGTAACTTAAATTGTATCTGTCCTTAACACTTGCAGTATAAAAGGAAAGAGCCCTCTGGGGTCTGGTAGAGATTCTGACACATAGCTGAGGCTGGTAGCTCGCATTGGACAGCGGAGTTCAGACACTCTTTGGATCATCGTTAGAAGTGCCACCAGAAATGAAAAAGTGGGGACAAATGTTAGGAAGGTGGCCTGTGGTCACATTTTCAAATCTTTAACTTGGACAGAATAATGACTGTGAAAAGCTAGTTCATTCTTGCAAAAAGAGGGGAGCTTTAGAATCTGCTATTTGAAAGACTTACTTCCATAGATCACTCATGCAATTTAATCATTCAACTACTATATAACATTTTTTTCATATGTTTTATACAGTAATCATAGAATTAGCTTCTATGTATTTGAAAGATCAAATGCAATGAAAATGGTATTCTGAGAAAAAAGAACATATTTATCTTACTGTTGTACCCCAGATTAATAAATATTTGTTAAGTGTATGAATGAAAAATAATAAATAATATTTAAAAGGTAGAATAGAATTTTTGTTGGCTTTCAGGAAATTTTAGGGCAAATTTACACTTTTGTTTAATTAGTGGTCATGCAAACTTTTACAAACAAGGTTCCACAATTTTCCCAATTAATTATGCAGTGATTAACAACAGCTTGAAAGCATATGAATGAGGAAGCATCCCCTTTTAAATTTGTATTCTTTCTCTCTTTCTAATTGTTCTAGACCTAGGAAAATTGATTTCAAACTTGAAGTGATGTATCAGTGACTATCCGCACTAAGCACAACATGAAAAGTCCATATTTTTACACAAAATTGGTCATAAAAGATTTTTGTGACCTATGACCACACCATAAATGGAAAAGGAGAGTCAACTCCACTTAAATAACATTTTTCAAGTTACAAGCAAATTTTATTAAGTATATTGAAGCTGTAGTTTTAATTCATAATTAAATGTATAGAAAAATATCAATATTTCATTTTGTAATTCATATCGTTTATTTGGTTTTCTTTTTCCCCCTAGATTTTGTATACTGGAATTGTTATCTATGCCCCTGCCCTGGCTTTGAATCAAGGTACATTTTAGAGTTACCAATATGTCACTCTCATTTGGGGGTTCACTTTTAACAGACCTTATTCTGTCTTTGGGGAGA